TTTGCACCACCGGCCCAGATTGGATCCTGCAGAATGAATTTATAATCCTCCTTTGGATGTAACAGAAAATCATAAAGCTTTTTAAAAATTGACAATGGGCAAGCTCTGTTTCCTTAACTGATGTATCTGAAATCTCTGGGCTTGCAGACATTTCAGAGATATCAATTAATCTTCAAAAAGGGGGTTGATCTCTTTTGGTTACCCGATGGAAAAAAAGTCTTACAATTTGGGTCAAGGAGCTTTCTGAACCTGATCTGACCCTGAGATTTTGTTTCTTGCTCCTTCTGTTGAAATAATAAACATGAATTGCTATTGTTGTTGCAATCTATTAATTTCTTTCTACTTGTCTGAGAATTTTCATATGCTGCATGCAGTAGTGAAATTCAATTTTTTTTACTACTAGTTCTGTGGGTGGGGCTTGGGGGGCGTGACTTAGTGGGTGTGGCAGGGGAAGGATACTGCAAAATCTCCATTCCCACCCCACTCTGGCATTTGCCAGTTCTCTGAACGACTCAAAATTTCTGCTACCGGTTCTCTAGAACCTGTCACAACCTGCTGAATTTCACCCCCTAGCTGCATGTCACCGAAAGCCATTTGGGTAATTGGAGGGGCTTGTAGGTTGAGCAAATAAAATGCAATAAAACCAATCAAGCTAATTATCATGTGAAACACTGAAGAACAGTGGTGTAGCTTTCTGTCTTTTTCATCCTAAGACCTCCCTGGCTGCTGTAGTTTGCTAATCAGAAAAAGGCTGATGGAAAAGCTTCTCCTGTGATATTTTGCTGTGGGGTTAATCAAAGTTTAGAAGACCTGGGAAGCGTCCAACACTGCAAAAACCCTCCCAGGGTTGTTGTGCAAGGAGAAAAAATAGGAGAGACTTCCCTAGCCACCTTAATCTCACAGAGGAAAATTTGGATGTAAATACAATCAATAAACCTAGGAAACAATTTTCGTGGCCATCATTCCTAAAGATGCAAACATGCAGACAATATGAGTTTACTAAAGATGGGAAACTGATATATAGCTTCTTTCTAAAACTCTAAAATCCATGATTATGACTGGAGGAGAAAATAGAAGTCATGTTATGGATATGTGCTAAATTAGAGCAGCTATAATCTGGCCATGTAAGTAATACCAGTCTTTGGCATATGGTTTTGGTAATATAGTTGTGTCTTCTTAAGTGAAGACATGCGAAATATTTTTATTATTATTGCAATCCAGTTAAGTGGTTTTTCTGGGTTGGGGGGAGGATTCTGGTGAAGGTAATTTAAGGTCATTTGGTTTTAATTTTTAGTACTTGTTCTAAAAATTGTGGGCTAGAGGCTGGCTGGACAGGAAGTTATTACTGTTTTTATTACAATCCAGCCTTTAAAATTAACATCTTAGAAAGAAGAAAAGATAATAAGGCAATTCAATGGAGCAGACTGTCACACCCTGCTTTAGATGAGAAACACAATCAGAGAAAAAGAATTATGGAAATGAAATTTATGTCAGAGTCCCTTTTGAGCCATATGGTATTACTGTCCTATATCATATATCTTTATACTGAATACTCAGTTTCTGCAGCCACTGTAGAGGTAAGAATAAGGCTGATTTAATCAAACCATCTGTTTCTATCTTTCCGGATGTTGCTACCATATGGAGAGGCAACTAAAGTTTTTTTTAAAAAGATCATGACATCTCACAGAATTAATATGTGCATCACAGCTTCAAAAACCTGTCCACCGTTGAACAAGTAAATTACAAAGCCCACTGTAAAATAAGTGTGTTCTCTACTGTAAACCGTAAGAGATGGATGGAATGCTTAAAGTGGCAATCATTCAACAGAAAAAAAATGTACTTTCAAACTGGGAAAGGTTTGGCTAATTAAAATCAATAAATCATTCTGATGGCTCATCTTGTCAACAGGGAAGAAGGAAACCTGGTAGAAGGCCATTTTTGATAGTTTAGCAATTCCTGAATAAACTGCAATGGGGGCTTTCTAAGCTCTACTTTTATTGTTAGCTACTGGTTGACAAATTAGTTTTGATTTCCCCTAAAGAGGATGTGTTTTGGTCAGAGT